TGATTGGCCAGCTATCCAGTGCGTTGTGATTGGCCGAATACCTCAAGCGTGTGACGGAAATGTTGCACCCCTTACCATACTGTGATGCTGTGTCCCGGAGTGACAAGACAAAAACATTAAAACCCATTATAAACGAGGCATTTGTTGCATCCAGTGGGGACATAATTATGGATTATAATGACTTATACTGTCTTTTTACGCGTTGCGTTGCATCGCGCCGCGTAAACATAAAACCATGTCTGCATTTGTGATCGGAGAAATGACAAGCAACAAGCGCTACTCTACACTGCTCAAAACTCACGTTTGAATCATCAGTGGCAAATTCTTTAAATATGAAAACGTACTTACAGGCTGTGAGTTAGAACAGCCGGCATTGTAGTCTACTCTACCAGGATCAGGAAACAGTCCTCCATAAAATGTGCTGCACACATCTGAATATTTGGGTTGAAGTGTTCTGGAGCAGTGTTGTAAATACAACTTAACCACTGATTTCTAGTCGTGTCCTCTTTTGGAAGGCCAAACAAAGTAGGAAGGCGAAACACACAGCGTCGCCACGACATGGCAGCGGTGGTGGCAGCAACAATAAAGTTACGCCTTCTTTCTTTGCGTAAACATTTGGGCGGCGTTATGCAAATCTTCCCACACAGTGACGTAGACATGTGGGGGCGTGTTTGAACGAGGCGTTTTAGGAGGGCGTGGACAAGTCTTAACTTTTATAAAGAATATCTCTTTGGGTTTGAGACTTTAGTCTTTGCAAGATAAGGGATCTTATCTATTCACAAACAGCTTGTAACACTCCAAAGAGAAAGGAAAACTTGAAATTGCATCATATGACCCCTTTAATAGTAATTAATTGCTTGCTGTGTTGCTGCACTTAAACGGATAGTTCACCCAAAAATGAAATTACTGTTATAATTTACTCAAGGTCATGTTCCAAACTTGTATGTCTTTCTCTTTCTCCTGCAGAACATAACAGAAGATATTCTACAGAATGTTGGTAACTTGCATTGTATGAAAAAAAAGGATAATGCTTTTTCACCTCATGCTTTTAAAAGCGGGAGATGTATGGTAGTGGAACAAGGGCGTTTTGCAAGGTCTAAAGATGAAAAATTTGATGACTAGTGAACGTTTACAAAACAAACAAACAAACAAACAGTGGAATGCAAACAAGCTATATGTGAACAAACCCTTAAAGAATTCTGCACACATAGAACGCGTTTTGTATTCCACTGCGCTGCTTTCCATATATATATATATATATTTCTAATGTACATAGCTAGACCGACATGTTTGACCACTGCGTGTGAGTGATCGTCAAATTGAAAATAGCTTATGCGTCTCGTGACCAATTTTTTCATTCCATTGCCTGCGTTTTCTTCCCATTTATTTCAGCGTTTTCTTTTAACCTTCAATTCCTGTATTTATAGAGGCTTTCAAAGCCACTGTAACAGCTTGAAAAATACATATTTAACAATGAAGTAACATATTGGTATTTTGGAGATTTTCTTAGTAGCTAGGCTATATAAGAACTGATTGCAAACAATTTCAACTTGTTAACACGCTGTTCTGTAATTTTTTTACATTAGCCTACATTTGACTGGGGTCAAGACCCAGACATACAAAATGAATAAACATTAGTTGTTTATTATAATTTCTTCGATTATATTTTTCTACAATGTGTTTTTCAGCGTTACTAATAAAAAGCCTACAGCTAAAGCCTACCATACATTTTCCAGCATAGTAACTCCGGAATACCCAAACATAAAAAACAGAGGTAATTCTTTCTGCTATTTAAAATGTATTCCAACTGAAATGTAGAGGAAGTTCAACTGTTAACATGAATGTAAGTAAGACTGGAGTTGTCCATTTGTCTGACCTCATATGGGACAGTGTGTCACTGGCAGGGAAAAACGGAAGTCCGCACGTTCAGTGAAAGTTTTTGTCAGGTAGTGATTTGGGAATAGGTTGGGCTAAACGGTCTGGAGGTCGCATATAAAAACTCCATCATAGCGTATATATACAGACACACACAGACTCAGTCTGTCGAAGTCAAAATGCTCGGAAGCGATGTGCTGTTGTGCTTCATCTTCTACAGCACGCTCCTAATCTTAAAGATGTACATCATTGCCATCATCACGGGCCAAGTGAGACTTAGGAAAAAGGTAAGTTGTGGAACTTTTATTCATACTTATAAAAGTAGTTTTCATGCTACTGCATCAGACACACCGACGCGACAGAATCACTGCTACACAGTCGCGTTCCTTATGGAAGCGTTTATTTGTCGCGTCGAGCGTGTGGAGTGTTTTTGTTTGAATAGAAATCCGTATAGTCTGCATACTGCAGCTGTCTGGATTAACTTCTGAAATCAATGCAGGTATAGTTGGTCAGATATGTGTTTTAATAGAATGACTTGACATCTAGATTTATGTGTAGTAAAACAGATGTGTATTTGACAGGCGTTTGCTAATCCAGAGGACGCTGAGAGACACGGAGGTGTGCAGTTCTGCCGCACTGATCCATATGTGGAACGCTGTAGGAGGTAAGAGCACAATACTATGCTACTAATTAGAGTGCAACTCCACAAACATGGATATAGGCTACACTAAATTATTATTATTTTTAAACCTATTGCATGCCAGTATTAATGAATTACTAACATCAGCAATATAAATGAAACAGCTTTAAAGAATAACAACGGTAACAAAATAGCATAAAAACAATACGACATTTAATACAAGAAATGTATATATATATATATATATATATATATATATATATATATATATATATATATATATATATATATATATATATATAAAGGATTTGCTTGTGATGTCATCAAGTTCCTGTGAGAAACATTTGATAATATGTACATTAGGGGAATGTTTATTAGGGGGTTTATGTTGCATTTTTATTTAACATATAGTTTTGGTACACTCTCACTGTAATTTTGTACAGTGAATTTCTGGCATTTTTTAATATAAATATAATCCGATTTTTTATACTTTGTAAGGTATTTACTTCAAATATCTTCAAAAATTAGTTTTCATTTTTTTCTATTCACATGGTTTCAATTTTCTGACTGGAATATTTTAAAGTTAGTGTTTCTTGTCTGTAAAAACATTGCGTGTCTATTTGGGAAAGTTAAGCTTCAGTCTTTTCCCCAGTGGGCCCATATAGTTGGAAAAACTGCAGGATGTCTGGCAGATGTCCTTTAGTTATTTTCTGTAGTGTCAAAATCTTCATAAAAAGAATACGGGTATGACAGATATGTGTGAAAGTTCACAGGTCCACAATAGGAAGTACATTATAATCCATAATAGACTACATGTAGCTCAGATATCTTTATTTTCCCAGTTGTATTATTTTTTGTCAAAAGTTATAAAGGTACACAGTCTCCATGCCAGTTAGCTCAAATTTGTTTCCACAGCAGACTCTTCTCAGTATCTATATTTATGTATGTGAGCGCATGAGAGAAAGAGAGACAATGGATTATGAGACTACACACTTTAAAACAATCATAGACTTGGCTGCCTGTTAGGAAACATTCATTACTTTAAGCTGCAGGCCACTGCAGGGTACTTCATTGCTTGTTTGGCAGTTTCTAACTTATCTTAAGAAACTTGCCTGCTCTGCCCAGTCACAGCCCACTCCACTCTACATCTGCACAATCTGAAAATGACGAAGATGTTATTTCAGTAGACTGCTCTGAAATCACTCAATTTATATGTTGGCACTGGAAATTCTTGTTTCCAGTAAATAAATAAAGAAGGGTATTTACTGTATTGATGTGTCCTGAGAATAGCTTGTAGTTGCCAGATTGGTAAGAGAAAGTCCTGACAAGACCGTTATTTGACCTTAATTGCAATGCATTCACAAAGGTATTTCACTACAACCCTGTGGCTAACAAATATCTACAAGCGAACAGAAGCAGGAAGACAGTGTTAAATAGAACTAATGGTTGAAAATTCTTGTTTGGATCAACAACTTTGTTTGAAACCAAAAATGGTTTCAGTGACAAACAGAGAAGCCTACAGAAGGAAAAACAAGACATTTCAATAACCTGTTAGATTATTATCTTATATTCATATTATATTATTATAAATCACCATAATCTTTATTAATATGATTATTATATTTTATTAAAATAATTATTAATATTATTTAGTTGCAAAACAATTTGGCAGATTAATATAGAATGGAAAAGATGTGTGGTCACTGGGTGCGTATATCAGCTATTTAGCTATCACTTTAAACCTGTTGCATACAATCAAGATTATTTATCAGGATCTAAAACTAAAACATTTTCTAATAATGGATGTGGAAAATGGTGATTAACACACAAGTGAAAGTCATTTCCTCTTTTGAAATTGAATCCCAGCAGGAAATTACTTATAATGCACTTTGGGCAACTTAGTTGCTATTAAATGTGCTATAAATAAATAAATAAAGTTGAAGTTGAAGTATAATGGAAAGTCCTCGTTGCGTCAAAGAGATGAGGAAGAATCTGTGTAATGCAGGATTTCACAATGATGACCAAGCACTGCTACGTAGCTGCTGTGCTGAGTTAATAATGGGAAATGCGACCATAATGTATTCATGGCGTAATGAATGTCAACATAGTATGATTAATTTCCTTTAAGCAGGTACAGGAAACACTTACAACTTCCTATTGCTGTGACTTGTTCATGGGACAGCCACTGCCATGACCCACTTTGAGAGTGATTCGGAGTGAAAGTAAATTTACATCGCAAGATCGTGCGAAGTTGGCAACGTTTACTGTCCAGGCATGCTGCCATTAGACAGAGCCAGACAGTTTACAGCTGAAGTCCTGATCAAAACCAGATGTTGAGCGTACATTCCTCAGCTCTCGGGTTCTGAGAAAAGCAGTTTTCCATATGTATTTCCACAGTCTCGAGCATTCAAAATACCTTAAAGAGCTATTAAATCAAATACAGTGTTTAGAGTTTAATATTAGCAAAACGTAGCTGAAAGAGAGGCTGAAAGGACAATAATGTGGGAATGCGTGAGGGATGTGGTCAAAACTGAAAAAGAACTTACTCATCATGAGTTGAGCTATGATTAAACAAGCATGGTCATGCTATGCAGAACTATAACACCATTCATAAATGGCACCAAAACTATTTGTTTGCTATACACATCCTATTTATGTTTTCGACAGCTTCTAGCAGTTCTCCTTCTCTTTACACTAATACACACTTTTTTTCAAATAAAATGCCTTTATTTGTGGTTTACCTGCATTAATTTTTTAACTGTTTGTGTGTGTGTGTGGAAAAGCAGTTTTCCATATGTATTTCCACAGTCTCGAGCATTCAAAATACCTTAAAGAGCTATTAAATCAAATACAGTGTTTAGAGTTTAATATTAGCAAAACGTAGCTGAAAGAGAGGCTGAAAGGACAATAATGTGGGAATGTGTGAGGGATGTGGTCAAAACTGAAAAAGAACTTACTCATCATGAGTTGAGCTATGATTAAACAAGCATGGTCATGCTATGCAGAACTATAACACCATTCATAAATGGCACCAAAACTATTTGTTTGCTATACACATCCTATTTATGTTTTCGACAGCTTCTAGCAGTTCTCCTTCTCTTTACACTAATACACACTTTTTTAAAATAAAATGCCTTTATTTGTGGTTTACCTGCATTCATTTTTTAACTGTTTGTGTGTGTGTGTTTTTTTTTTCAGAGCACACCTCAATGACATGGAGAACATTCTTCCCTTTTTATTTCTTGGAGCCATCTACTCCATGACAGGCCCCTCTTATGCAGTAGCACAACTTCATTTTCTGGTCTTTTCCCTGAGTCGAGTTCTTCACAGCGTTGCATACCTGTTGGCACTCAAAGCACCGACACGTTCATTCGCCTATGTCATTGCTCAGGTGCCTTGCGTTTCCATGGCGATACAGATTCTCATGGAAGTAGCCTCATTCGCATGACCCTCTCAATAATGACTTCTGTGATTGATCAAGACTTATGGTTACAAATGTGATGCAGAATGCTGCTTTACGGACTTACAGCATCTCAACAGTAATACAATTCAAATTTCACTTTAACATCAGACTTAATAGCTCTGTTTTTAAATCTCAACGATCATTGCCGTTTTTTTTTTTTTTTACTGGACACTACGGTTTGTATTGTGGTTTGCTATGTGTATGGTCGTATTAGCATTCAAATGAAGGTTATTTAATGTGATTTATTTTCACAATCAGTTTTGCATATACTCAGCATATTTATATATTTGATACAACAGGCCTTATTCTCTTTGAATGGACCTCAAGTCTATAGCGCAGCCGTTACTTGCAAGAATTTTGGTTCAGTGACCACCAGTTTTTCACTTTCATACTGCAAAGCTTATATAACCAATAACTGCTGAGGACAGTTCAGAGTCCATGTGACTGTTCCACACTTGTAAAAATTCCTCTGTTATTAGACCATGAGCCCTGCAGAGCCCAGGCCTTTCAAATTTATTGTAGCGTTAAACATACGCCGTTGCACAAAGACTGTCCTTCCTCTTTGTCCACCAGGCTTTGGGTTTTCAGCATTTCGAGAACAGCTGGGTGCTTTCACTTTGGTTTTTGTCCTCAAGAATGCTAGTTTTGGTATAATGTTATGGTTGTATTAATTCACCACACAGCACTTTTGATATATAAATATTTTCTGTTTTCATAACTTATTTAATTTTTTAATAATATTATATAATTTGTGTAGTGATGTTAAAGTTTCTAAAGTGATGATGAGAAAATCAATAGTTTTTATAATAAAGGAATAATGAAAGGCTTTGTGTGTTCATGGGTAATTGTGATACTTTATTGAGAGACAGTGGACTGCATATGTTAAAAACAAGAGCTCGGAGAGAAAGGGACAAAGAGAGAGAGAGAAATCAAAGGAGATGGATAAGAATAGCTGCCAAATAGGCAATTATAACATGGCAGACTGCACTGTTACTTCTCAGAACAAAAAGGGCAGGAAAAAGGCTGACAGGAAAAGATAGACAGGTTCAGGAAATTTGTGAGAAAGGCATGTTTTTGCTTCACATTAAAATAAACCAGACCTCCAGCACTATCACGGATACCATAAATGTCCCGACTCAATCTTAACTGGTTTGATGAAAACTCCACTGCCACCAATGGTGGAAGTAAATCAGGATACATATGTGAAAGGGCAGCAGAAAAGTGATCTTGCTGGAGAGCATGAAGGGAAGCGGGTGTTTGAGTTTGCATTTGAATCTATAATGATACATAGTGATCTGAACCATGCCCTTGCTTGTCATTTCCCCTGGCAGTATGCCTAAATGTCTGCATACATACATGTGTGCTCAGAAATTAAACCTACAGAGATGTTCATAAGAAAGTCTTCAACAAAAAAATGAGAAGCAAAAACATGGTGATAAACTATGTCATATCCAGTTATAAAATAAAAGGGCAAAAATAAAACAGCTTGTGAGTGGAGCTGTATTCTTAAAGGGACAACTTTGCACATTTGTAATCTCTGTGTAAATGCATTTACGCCACCACTGAGCAGCATCAAAGAGTCTGTTTAAAGACACCTAAATGCCACTTCAGAAGCACTTTCATGCCACCTTTCTATAAATTTGGCATTAGAGTGGTAATATGTAGCCTACACTTAAGGCACTACTATGAACCTTTTGGGGGTAAATAAGGTACAAAGGTGTTCCTTTAAGGGTACTGCCTGTTGTTGAACTGTTTTGAGAGCAGCCACTCTAAATCCTCTTTGTCCACCAGGCTTTGGGTTTTCAGCATTTCGAGAACAGCTGGGTGCTTTCACTTTGGTTTTTGTCCTCAAGAATGCTAGTTTTGGTATAATGTTATGGTTGTATTAATTCACCACACAGCACTTTTGATATATAAATATTTTCTGTTTTCATAACTTATTTAATTTTTTAATAATATTATATAATTTGTGTAGTGATGTTAAAGTTTCTAAAGTGATGATGAGAAAATCAATAGTTTTTATAATAAAGGAATAATGAAAGGCTTTGTGTGTTCATGGGTAATTGTGATACTTTATTGAGAGACAGTGGACTGCATATGTTAAAAACAAGAGCTCGGAGAGAAAGGGACAAAGAGAGAGAGAGAAATCAAAGGAGATGGATAAGAATAGCTGCCAAATAGGCAATTATAACATGGCAGACTGCACTGTTACTTCTCAGAACAAAAAGGGCAGGAAAAAGGCTGACAGGAAAAGATAGACAGGTTCAGGAAATTTGTGAGAAAGGCATGTTTTTGCTTCACATTAAAATAAACCAGACCTCCAGCACTATCACGGATACCATAAATGTCCCGACTCAATCTTAACTGGTTTGATGAAAACTCCACTGCCACCAATGGTGGAAGTAAATCAGGATACATATGTGAAAGGGCAGCAGAAAAGTGATCTTGCTGGAGAGCATGAAGGGAAGCGGGTGTTTGAGTTTGCATTTGAATCTATAATGATACATAGTGATCTGAAACATGCCCTTGCTTGTCATTTCCCCTGGCAGTATGCCTAAATGTCTGCATACATACATGTGTGCTCAGAAATTAGGCCTACAGAGATGTTCATAAGAAAGTCTTCAACAAAAAAATGAGAAGCAAAAACATGGTGATAAACTATGTCATATCCAGTTATAAAATAAAAGGGCAAAAATAAAACAGCTTGTGAGTGGAGCTGTATTCTTAAAGGGACAACTTTGCACATTTGTAATCTCTGTGTAAATGCATTTACGCCACCACTGAGCAGCATCAAAGAGTCTGTTTAAAGACACCTAAATGCCACTTCAGAAGCACTTTCATGCCACCTTTCTATAAATTTGGCATTAGAGTGGTAATATGTAGCCTACACTTAAGGCACTACTATGAACCTTTTGGGGGTAAATAAGGTACAAAGGTGTTCCTTTAAGGGTACTGCCTGTTGATGAACTGTTTTGAGAGCAGCCACTCTAAATTATTTAAAATATATATATTTTAAATAATGCCAATTAAAAAAAAGGTAAATTAACATTGACTTGTGATTTATGGCTCATTATTAGACAAGCCACAATTCAAAAGTATGCAAAATTATTTTTAGAAGTTTGAAGTGATCATACTCAATCTGGCAAAAGCAATATAAATAGAAAGTTTAGCAGTGGGCGAATTTCCAAAAATAATATTCACAGTGAAAGCTCTACCTAGTTTGTCATGAAACACTATGTCATCAAACAGCACTAGCAGACCAGCAGACCAGACTCAGGGTTGCACCACATTTAGTTGTTGACAGGGATGAAAACGATGCTGTGAGCGTGAGAGATAGAAGTACAGTGCGTTCAATGGATTCTACGGTTTAACAACATACCGATTGTTTAGCTTACGATAAAATTATTATATTAATAATATACCGTAATATAAAAAATAATTAAATAAATCAGCAGAAAACAAAAAACATAAAACAGTTGTAAAAGTTGTGAGTTGTGAAAGGACCTTGAAGGCCGGGACACACCAAGTCGAAGGTCGTCGTGAGTGAGAGATTTGCCTTGGCTAAATACCCACACTTGGGGTCTTTGCACTTGATCACTTGACTATTTATATGACGTTTTTCCTGAATCTGGCCCAAGTGTTCAAGTGAGGATGAAGACCACAAGTGTGTGTACAACTTTTCATTACCTGATGGGACACACTTATAGTGTTGTAAAAACGCAAGTGTTTAAAGAGTTTTAATTTTTATTTTCAATACTTTGCATTTTAAAATAAACTTCTAAATGTCTGTTCAGTAGTCCCTATAACAGAAATGTCACACTTTAATTTCTGGTGCTTCTAATTAAGTGATAAAAAACAGTTGCAAATGATGTACAAAATAAATATACTCACCTTTGCACCAATAAAACGTGTAGCATTTTGTTTTACTACCAAATTATATGTAATATCCAATTATTATTTTTTAACTTACATTGGAAAGGTTTCCGTGACCTCTCGCGAGATCTTGGCAAAAAGTCTCACGATTTATTTTCAGAACATGATGCATAATGGGATACACTAAGCCACTGTGTGTCTCATTTAGAAGGCTGCACCCTCCGGAGGTCGAATCCTCTGGAGAAGGCTGCATACGTAGGATGCATATACGAAGTGTCCTCATATGTGGCTCTAATACGGTCAGTCTTAGATTATGGAAGTGTAGTATTTGGGTCGGCAGCTAAATCGCAGTTAAAAAAGTTAGATGTAGTCCAGGCACAGGCACTGAGAGTATGTTGTGGAGCTTTTAAAACAACACCAGTGTCAGCCATACAGGTAGAAATGGGGGAATTGCCACTAGAGTTAAGAAGGAAGCAGTTGATGGCTAACTATTGGGCAGGGTTACAAGGGCATAATAATTCACATCCCATTAAGGCAGTATTGCAGGAGAGTTGGGAGAATGGGAAGAATCTAAAACACAATTTTGGTCGGATCCAAAGAGAAAGGAAAATTTGAAATCTCATCATATGACCCCTTTAAGACCTGGGACAGTCTTTTGCACTTACTTCCTGTTACAAAGGCCTCCTGTAGTGAATCGATGCGTTTTTGTAAGACAAGACTAGCTTGTGCCAACAGTTGTACATGAAAGCAGCCGGGTGGATGACGTATGAGTTCAGCGTTGCGCATGCGCCGGTGAGTCTTGTGAAAACCAACGTTTGTTTACAGGATCAAAAGAAGCAAAGTTTCCTTGCTTTAGCAAAGGAAAACAAGTCTCTTCTTGGCTTATATCGAAATCCTCCGACATTCTTCTTTACAAATCCTCATTTTGTACTTCTAATTAGTACTTCCACGTGCGTCACTTCTGAGCGGCGCATGCAACGCTGACCTCCTACGTAATTCCCCCTGAACTGCTTCTGTTTACAACAGTGAGCGCAAGCTAGATTCAAGTGATTATTATGGAGCCGTGTGAGACACTTTTTTTTTGTGGAAGGGTGCTTTTTATTTCACGTCTTTTGGACAGAAGCAATGCAACATCCGCTGCAGTACAACGATAGAGCTTGAAAGATCAAAGACAATTTTTAATATAACGAATATTAAAAGACAATTTTTAATATAACTGGATTCGTCTGAAAGAAGAAAGTCATATACACCTAGGATGCATCAGGGGTAAGTAAAACACAGCCTAATTTTTATTTTTGGGTGAACTAACCCTTTAAGGTCCTGTTAGGGCTAGGGATGGGCTTTAGAGACAGGGACCAATCAGGTTGCAGCTTTCGGAAAATCGTAGCTTCGGCGTCCCCGAGGACAGCCACGCGCACACTTCTGGGCGAGGATTGCTCTCACACTGATAGAACTCCGCGTAAATGTGTGATGTTGACCAAATCGCTGAATGAGCTGAACAGTTTGATTGAACAACACTACCACCTATAGGTAATTATAAAACTTCGTTGTCCTTTCATGTTGACAGCAAATAAGAACTTGCTGTCTCGAAAAACCGTTCAATAGACCACACAACAATGCTAGTTAATAATCAAGCATGTCTGTAGTCTACTTACACCCGTTAAAACACAAACTGCATGGTACATTTCATAAATATTTATTTCATATCAATGAACAATATTAACTACAGCAGTGGGCTACAGCACTTTTTCAAATAAATGTTATAATAATAATAGTAATATTTTTGAGGCCACATCTGAAACACAAACATTTACAAGTAGTACTTGGCATTAAAAACAATGGCAATACAATGTTTTAAGACACTTGGTGTTTTTTTATTCATTTTTGTTTAATTTCCGATATCACAGAGATTCTGAAACAGTCTAAACAGTTAATATTGATATAGATACAAAAC